GTTATAGTTTTTTCAGCATCTTAAATCAGTTTATAATTAATATAATGCACAAGTGCACTATAATATTTATCTGCATTTCAACTGCTTCAGGGTGCAACTCTTAAACATTATGTAAATTTCATATAGATTTATTAATTATTCAATACTTTTGTCACTTCCCAGTGCATCAAGCATTGTGATCTATTTTAAATAGTTTCCAATTCTGGTGGAATGTGAATCTTCTTCTCTGCTGCAAATTTCTTCAATGCTTGGTATTTTGAGTGCCAAGACTCTACTTCCTCTCTCATGCGGTTATTGTCATCTTGCATAGTTTCCATATCCCGGTATTCCTGTGACTTCTCTGACTCTAACTCATCCTTCTGTTCAATTCTCTTAATGCGGCAACTGGCTGCATATCCTCTGTTCTTTAACGTACGTCTACGTTGTTTCATACGTACTATTTCTTCCCTTGATAAACCACGTAATTTAAGTTGCCTATTCAAATCTCTGACTGATATAGTCACCAGTTCATCGTCACTAATATCTAAACAGGGGCCAGGTGAAAGAGGATCCTATACAGATAAATAGAGATTGTCCTAATTTACATGGTTATATAAGAGATGCTGGTGCCATTACCAGAAAAAACTTTATTAAGAAGGAAATAACGCTCATGGAAGGTAGTAAAAAAGGGGAATTAATGTAAGTTTAATTTTCTGCGTGTCATAGTTGTGTATTTCGAATAGCTACGTAAAACATAAAGGAAACATAGGAGACGACAATGCATGCGATGGTATTGCAACATACCATTTTTATAGAACGCTTTCCATCCATAGGTTTCCCAAATGATGAAATTTCTCAAGTTCCAACGTCGANTATTGCAACATACCATTTTTATAGAACGCTTTCCATCCATAGGTTTCCCAAATGATGAAATTTCTCAAGTTCCAACATCGAGCAGCCACCGAGGCTTCGATTTTCCGCTAGCTTTTACGCTTTCAGGAAAAATTTGCTTAGTCATTATACGCTCTCGTGCAGGTCAATTCGCCATTCGTCTTACAACACGATATAGGTACCTCTCTAAAAATATGAACATATTCCTCTTGTAATCATTTTGTATGAATCAATTTTGTAATCAATAATGACGAAAAGTATTCAATACCTATTATGCATTTAATTTTGAATAATTCAATTAAATGTTTGAGTCATAGATACTCCGGTTTACGTAGCGAGGCTATCTCCAGGTTTTAATTGAAGCATCACTTCATAGAGGGCCATGTTCTGAGTTTCTCGCTTGTTCTTTGATCATGAATCTTTTGTTTACATCTTATAAGGATTTTCAAGGCTTGATCTGCAAATAAAATATTAATGTATACAACACAAACATTTGTTAGAATATAATATGGTATATAATTAAATTGCATTGCGTTCGCATATTCCCAAGCAACAAAGCTGGCGCCCTAACATTATTCGAATGCTAATTATTCAAATCGCTCGTCTATTGAGCAAAATTAAGCTTGGTTAATTTTATTCGAGGATAAATGTGACATTCTATTAACAACAATAATAACGTTTTCGAGATAACAACAGTATAGTAGAGTAATTGTATGTGAATTGTATCGAAATATTCTGTTTTGTTGAAATACAGTTTAGTGCGCACAGTTTTCGAATAAACCAGATGGCGCGGCAGTAGCGTTTGGATGAATTTCGTTGTGATCACGTCAGTGCAGTGTCTTTCACATAATTTATGTATTTCGTTAGTTAATTAACGTTAGTCACAGCAAAAAAAAGGTAAAAACATAGCTCTAACGCCATTACATCCATTAGATAAATAGGTTTAACGAATTACATCGAAGAAAGCAAAATAATTCACTTAGTAAAAACGTTTGTCTCGTTCGGTTCCAGTTCCAAAAATGGCGCGGGCATCCGAGTCTCCAAATTCAAATTTCGCAGGATTCTGTTCCCTAGTATTCACCATGCAATTTTCTTCGCATTTCAGGTAATTATTCTTTATTCAAAACTCTACAATGCTTTACAGTAAAAGCAATTTCGGGAAGGAATAATATCGCGCATGACATTGTTGAACAAACAATGCGAGTTCTTGATCGGCAAACTTTACGCGTTTATAATTAAAAATAAACAAAGAAATCACAGGTTGTATGGATATTATCGCGTGATGCAGAACCGGAAGAGATCGGTGTGCAAAACGATTACCGTACACTTGCATGGGAACGTTGTAATACAATCATGCAAATGTCGTTTACTTTTCATTCTGCCGGGGTCAGGATATTCATTTGTTTGTGAAAATCATTCACACTTCTACAATCAACGTTTGGTTCTCCTCTCGAAAATTGAACAATATTTTTTGTTTCGTATAATACGAAATCGATCAGCTTATCGAATGTGCGATCAGCCGATTTTGAAAATACTGGAAGCTTTGAAAAGATACGTTTGCAATTCCATCTGTTTTCGTCCTTTAATCCACAGCTATGCAATTTTTCGAATTCAAAGCGTATTTTATCCTATTGGTTTAAGTAATCTTTTTACTGATAAAAATAAAAAAATAATTGTCAAGATCATTCATGATTTTTGTGAGAGTGTGAGTGTTAAGAAAATAAAGAAAATAAATAAAGTAGTGCAGAAAATAATTTGTGTTGAATAAAATGAGAAGATGGAATCTGAACGACGATTTAATTTGTCCTCTCTGAATAAATGATTATATCAAGCTTGCTTGATTAGTGCCCGTGGTATTTATAAACGTCTTTGTTGAGAATTCATCTATCTTGTTTTTAGGAGGTAAAGCACTTGATTATTCGCTGTCAGACGGAAGAAAGGTATCGGTGTCGCGTAATGTTTACCATCTTGTTTTTCCGTTCTAGATCCCAGAAGCGGCAATTATCTCCGAGCGGTAATTCACTAGCTGAGAAAATGACGAGAACGGAGGTGGATGATTGCAGCCAGACCGGCGAAGAGATAGCCGGGGACAGTGAGAGAGGAGGAAGATATTTTCCCGGGAAAAATACCGGAAAATGCGATGGTACCAACAATGCAGGTAGTTGCATATATTCCGCTTCATCTTACAAATAATTGATAAATCATATGGACTCACTATGTATTTGCGGAATCGCTAACGTATATTCGCGGAGTTTCAATCGATGGTTACGATTCGGTAGCTGGTTGTAATCATTCCACCAGTCTTTGATAATCGATGCACGAGCCTTCTTTTAATTACGCGATCAATCGCGAGCTAGCAGAGCTGCACGGCAGCTGACACTAATTTACCACGTTGTACAAACTGTGCAAATTGAAGGCAACACCGAATCGATCCAAATTAATTTGAAATTCGTTTTGATTGCATTTCACAGCAACTTTAATCCTTCGTGAACGGGCTCGTCGCCCTGTTCGCTCGTTAATAATCGACTCAGGTCGGCCGCGATAATTTATTTACCCGTTCGGCCAGATGATTCTGTTAGTCCCTTCGAATTAAACGCTCCCTTCGAGTAATTGGCTCGTTTGTAGTTCGAGAACCTGCAAATCGGTAATAATTAAGCCCAAGTACATCGGTGCCACACGCCTAACGTTCTCCCGCACACGATCCGACAATTCCACCGAACACGGGGAATCGCCAGCTTCTCGAGACGCGTGTCTTAATTACCGCTGATTGGCCCTGTCCCTAATTGCCTCGTGGCATAGAATAATAATGGAGCTCTTACTTCTTTCGATTCGGCTCGCGGTAAAATAATCCGTCCGTGAGAAATTCCGGCGATCTGTCGCAATGCGGCTGCAGAGCTCTGTCCAGGTATTTCGGGGATTCGTTTTCCAAATGGTCTGCGACCGCGACGATTGATTCACTGCCCGTGAATGCTTTCATTATCAGCTCCCGCGGGATATCCGATTTCCTCCGGAGAATATTAGGAACGATGCCAGGATAATGGATTTGGCGATGCGTCTTCTTCGACGGGCACAATGGACAGTAACGGAAATGCACTACCAGACGACAGGATCAGGTATAATCATTCAGAAGATCTTATCCATTGAAGATTAGTCTTCGTCTCTGTATCTTTTCTGCAAATTAATGTGCGATTTTTTTTGCCAGATACCATAAGGAATTAGCAATGAACAGAACAAACTAGAACCGATGTATGGTGTTTAGAATAGTACGACAAAACTCAATATCTAAATTACAAACAAATTAACAATCACACTTTCTCATAAATTACATTAATTATGTGTCTCGTATTCCATTCATTCAATTTAGCGATATAATTAAGAATGCACGCTTATCTTCCAAACTGTAGGATCATTTTTAAAATCTCGATAGACGGTACAACTTTGTTCTATGATCTAATAAACTCCGACTACGTTAAGAAGAGAAGCATAACAATGTAGCATCCGTTCAGCACTATCAGAGCACCATACGATGGTATCAGGTTTCGAGGAACTAGCTTGGAGTCTTCCCGTATAGCTTGACTAAGCAGACACACGACCAGACAGCTTCTTCTAATTGTAAGAGTCTGCGAAATTCGTGGTGGTCCAGAATTCCTGTTGTTACCGAACAAGTTCCCGTGGTCCAGCTGCGATCGAGTTTAATTGCAATCACGATCGTGATCGCATTTAACAAAGCCACCGCGATTTCTACGAAATGCTATCGACGCAAATGTAATAACCATTGCCGTAAGCCGGTCGTGGTTGCCGGTTGACATCAAACATGTTCCGGGCCGATGGGATTCGGCCGAATAGATAAGCTATTTCCGGAGCTCCGGACCAGTTCGATTCAGTATAGCGATGGGTTGTTCTCGTTGACCGGTCGTAGCCGCGGGAATCGTTGATTTTTACGGTTTACGTATTCGATCTCGCGCGGACAGACTGCTAGACCGTGTCAACGTGATGAATAAACCTTTCCCTACGAGGTAATGAATACATAATCCGAGCTATTGTTCGATTGCGATCTAAATTAAAACTTGGTCACCCGTCGCCGTGCAACAGTTGATTCGATGCGAGCCGAGGTTCATTAGTGGACGCGGATATCTCGCGATCTTTCAATTTGTCTTAGTTTCCTTAAACTTGATTCTTTATTCCCGGAATCCTTCTAGCCACTCAACTCTTTAGGATATCGGTAGGGTAGATCAGAAAAGAGACGGCGCCATAACGGCACCGGCGCGGCGCTTCGACAAATGCGTCTCGGTCTTCCACGGCAAATTAGCCACATTGTGCGACGCAGTGTGTCCCTCGACGGATTACAATTTTCGCAACTGCGTCCTCGAATCCTCCAGTTTCCACAACCCTTATCGCCACGATCCAGAATCGGATCTCTGGTCGACTAGCCACAATTGTTCTCGCGGATTAAACCCGATCTCGTATTCGTAGAAGCTTCCCACGATAGTGTCCCGGATCTGTCGGCACCTACGACCCCCAGAATTGGTCCTATCTAGCCTGGACTCTTCGAGGATGTCGTAAATCCAACGATCGGTTCTTATCCTGGGGACTTAGGCTGGAACTCGTTGGAAAATCTATGGGTTCGAATAACCATCCTTTCTGAAAGGAATACCTTGCTGATGTTAGACAACGTTAGCGTTCTTCAACAATGCATCTGCTGTTGCTTGACAATTTCGATTTTTTTTTGTACACATCACAGACCGTGTTCTCCAAGTTGCAATTGGATGAATGCATTTCGCGAGTGTAACTCAAAATGCGACTGTTACTTATTATAAGTGTCCAGGATCTGACTCTGGCATCATCGTTAGAATACGGTGTTGTGCTAGTTTGCTGTATTGCAAGAGTGTCCCCCTCGATTCTCTTCGCGGATTTCGCGTCTGCAAGAACTGAAACGGCAAGCTTAATTCGCGGATAGCCGCAGAAGTTCTCGGCCGCGTTCGAACCGGGCGTCGAGGCGCTCTCCTTGTTCCTCCTGGACGACGCCGGGCGTCGTTTCGCCGCCCTCGGACGTCCTCGGCGTTGTTCGGTCGTCGCGCCGACGTCCCGTCGCGACGCAGCTGACAGTCGGTGGCCGAGCATCGCGACGCGCGCATCGCAGACACGCGGTACGCGCGAGAAAGACGCCTTTTGATTATCGACACGCGACGTATACGTCGTCCCCTTTTGCCAACGCGAAAAAGGATTAATTAAAATTCCGAGAAAGAGAGAGAGAGAGAGAGAGAGAGAGAGAGAGGAAGAACGGACGTGAACCGTTCACCGATCGCCTGAATCGTCCGATCGGGGATCTTCGACACGCCTCTCTCTTATCGTCGCGATCTTCTTCCGCTATCGATCGCGATCTCTTCGTGGGACCGAGGATCGGAGGACACTTAACTTAAGCGCGACCAACCCGAAGGAACATGCACACCAGCTGCGGTCTGTCACGCGGACGACACTGATGGTCTGTATCGAAAACCAGCCGCGGGACTAATTCCGCTCGGTCGGACTCGCGAGATCTACGCGCGAAATCTCTCCGCCCACGCAGCTCCGAGTCGCGGCCCGGGGATCTAGTTGATTCGAAATGAATCCAGAACGTCGCTGGAACACTGGGTTATTAACGTAGAAAGTTGCCTTTGCTTCTTTGTGATCCGATCGATCGAAATCGTTATCAGGAATGTGGTTGGTGTGAACAAGATGGTCGCTTTTCCTAGTCTCTCTTCGAAATGGTCGCTCTATCTCAGAGAAGCTGCATTACGTTAAGTAGTATGCGCCAGTATTTGGCCAGACATCGAGTGTTCTAAATTTCATATCAACTGTGACGGAATTTATGTTGTTATATTATTTTCGGTCTATTGTGTATTCAGTTGAGTAGTATGGTCCAGTACTGGTTCAGACACTAAGTGTTTTCAGTTCGATAGTAACTGTGACAGAAATTATATTATTTTTATTAGGACCTTATAGCTTCGTGGACCTTTAGTACGTGTAGCATGATCCGGTATTTGGTCAGATGCGAAGCTTGTCTTTTAAATGTTTGAAGAGAACATTTTTGTATTTATTATATATAATATTCATTCAAGTAGTATCACACTCGGTTAGACATCGCATCTATATCTGTAATTCTAGAATGGAATGTTCTGCGCTCGAATTTAGGCTGTTCCTTGTTAGAATTTAAATCATTTGTGCGATTAGAATTGTTTGGTTAAGTAGTATACACCAATAGACGTTGATTCTCAAATAATATTGCGATATTATGTAGAACGCATTCGTGGCTGGTCAGGCACCGAGTGTTTAAAATTTACGTAGAATTTAAGTATATATATAAAATCAACTATTTTTTGCTATTCATTTATTCTTAAATTCCTGTCATCTAGTAGTATATACCAGTGTCTAGTCAGACGTCGAGTCTACGCTAGAATTTTTCAGCTTTGCCCACTGCTTTGGAATTCAAATTGGTTTTCATTGCAATACGAATTCTTTCGTTCTCTCTCTCTCTCTCTCTCTCTCTCTCTCTCTCTTTCTTAAGTAAATGGGCCCGTTCCTGGTCAGACATCGAATAATTTCCAGATAGAACCGTTCCGCGCTGGAATTTCAATTTTTGTTTGACTGACGGACGACTTCTATCTTCTAATTCCGTAAATGATTCCCTTCTCCCCATACGCTCTAATTTCATTGAGCTTAAGCCTATCCATCGTTCACGAAGAAATGTCATTATCGTGAACTGCGGAAGTTAAGTTATCTAGCGGAACTAAGCTCTCAGATAGCTCTTCTGATAGAATATCTTCTGTCCGAAGGTACCTGCACGATCTGGAAGGTGCTCTTGTTTAACCGATGCAGGAAGATACCCGACGAATCGTCTTTGATACCATAAATCCTTGTTTATCCGGTGTTCATCGGCGAGAAAGTCCTTCGGCCGTCGCTCAGAAGTTTCCGCGTTTTATCTACCGGTGGATATCCGGGTAGATTTTCCCGTTCATCCTCTCACTGACGGTGTCGCTAAAGGGGGGAAAAGGTATCGACGGAAATCTACCGATAATGAAGAAAAAGAGTACACTCCAAGGAGATCATTCTTCGTTCGCTGCCTTCTAAAGAGCTCGTAATTACATCAAGTTCCTCAGACTTCCGCGAATATTCAATAACCCGCGACTTTCGCATTCTCTTTCAAATAGTCCCTTATTTCCACACTGAAACTTCTGCTTTTTTCTCCTGGATACTTCGGTCTTCAATTTTCTTTGTACTGTTCACTCTTTTCTGAGACGTTCAAACGTTTCGCCGGTTCCTTCTGGAATCGCAACGCAACGGAATTACAAGGGACTAGAGAACTCGGACTCAAGAATTCCATGCATTATTCAGCCGCCATACGTTTCCCTTCGCGGTATTAAAAATGAGCCGACGCACGTTTCCGATTGCCGTCTCGCACGATAAATCAGGATCAGGCCCGAAGCCCTCTAACATTCTCTGTATTTTTTTTTCATTGCCTCGCCGATTTGTCGAGCCGCGTCTCGATGCTTTTCGCTGTAACTGTTTCTACATCCACGGTTGCGGCCATTTCTCGCGATTTACCGAGCTTTACCCGTTAACTCCTCGTTTCTACTAATAGAGACAAGTTTTGTCCATTTCTCTGTAAAAATTTGGCTACTCCGAGGTGCGTAATTCTTGCTCGACCATCACGAATTTGAAGAAGGTAGCAGACCTCGGTGAAGAATTTTTTCCAATCACGATATTAGGGATATTTATTAGTTAGTACTCGAGTCGGTCTTCGCGATGTAATCGAATGCATTTCATTCGAGATTTCCCTCGGCCGTGGAAAACGAATGCCGTTTCGTTCGCCGAACGTTCTCGAGATCTTTTTAATGCATTCCTTTCAAGGGAATCGCTTCGACAACGACTCTTATCGGTTTCGTTTAAGCTTCACACTGACTCACGCCACTGTTTCCTGGTCCCCACGATTCCCTTTCGATCGGACCGTATCTCTTCGGTAATTGCACAAATCTCCTTGATTCGGCGAATCGCCCATCTCCCCTCGCGACTGATTTCTCCCTCGGTCTTTCGCGAGATCGTTTTTTTCGACAACAGGACATCGATCTCCGCGATTGGACGTACTCTCTTCTATTTCAATTTTACTGCCAGCTCTCGTTTTATCGCTCGGCGGCAATGATTCAGGAGGAAACCGCAACGGCCGAGGCTGCCATAACGATCCGAAAATAACGCGTGTAATCGAGTGACGGATATCTTTAAGATATTCCTAGACGTGGCCCGACCACAACAGGATCGTTTCACTCGCGCGCTCGTAGAACCGAAGATCGTTTTCGCGACCGGTTCGGATCGGCAAATCGAAGTTCTATCGTGTACCGTCGCCAATGCACCCATCCTCGCGATCCGCCGGCATGTTTCGAGTGTCTTGGCAACAGGACTCGACGAATTGCTCCTTCGAGCTTTCCTTTGACCAGTGGTTTCATCGAA